TATATCCACCAGCTGCTCCTCAGAAACCCTATACAGGGTCACTATGAGTCAGAACCAACCTGACGGCACTTAGCAACACAACATATAATATCGATCAATCGATAGGTAGGTAGGTAGAAAGAGCGAGCTATACCAATCTATGTGTGTAGATCTATCTATAGATATAGATAAACAACATAGTCTCTGTGGTAGAGCACGTGACTTGTTCCCATAATAAGGGGTCCACATCTAGACTCCATCTCTGCTAGGCAGAGACTGAGATAATTTGATTGTGAATCAGACCTTCCTCCCGTCTGTTTCTTGTTCCTCAGGTGAATTTTTAACGTACTTAAATTGTTATTATTCTGAAACAATGGAACACTCAGAGGAGGTTTTTAGAGTAGGCTGAAGGAACCCTGTAGACACTGGTGAGGTGTTTGACTGTTAACTGAAAGATTGATGTTTTAAACCCACCCAGTGGATCCACAGGAGAAATACCTGACCATCTACTTCTGTCAACATTACAGCTAAGACAACCCTATGTTGTTGTTGTTGTTGTTTTTGCTGTTGTTAAGTGCCATCAAGTTGGTTCTGACCCATAATGACCCTGTATAGGATTTCCAAGGATCAGGTGGTGAGTTTGAACTGCTGACCTGGCTGTTCAGACCAATCTTGACTCATAGCAACTTTTTGTGTAACCAGAACAGAACATTGCCTTGTCGTGCACCAATTGTGGTGTTTGAGCCTATTCTTGCTGCCACTGTGCCAGTCCATCTTGTTGGGGGTCTCCCTCTTTTTCGCTGACCCTCCACTTTACCAAGCATGATATCCTTCTCTAAGAACTTGGCTCCTCCTGACAACATGTCTAAAGTATGAGAGACGAAGTCTTGCCTTCCTCTCTTCTAAGGAGCATTCTGGCTGTTCTTCTTCTAAGACAGAACCTATGGGGCAATTGAGTTCTTTCATGGGGGTCACTATGGGAGTCCGAATTGACTCAATGGCCCCAACAGCAACAGCATCAAGAAATTTTGAGTCTTTGTCATGTAATATACTTTAGGAAATGTAATAAGGAAAGGTAATTTGTCAACATTTCTTGCTATACATAAAGGATAGCATTGAATTCACCTAAATAATTCCCAACTCTAGGTACCGAGGCACTTTTCTGACAAGCTGTGTTCTGTTTACCTGCTTTCAGCGTCTCTCCTTCACTATCAGTGCTGTTGATTGGTAGGTGTGTGAACACACTTCTGATTCTTTGTTTTTCAGGTTACGGAACTCAACAATGTGAAGAATGTAGCGCGATTGCCAAAGAGCACCAAGAAGCACGCCATAGGGATCTATTTCAATGATGATACCTCTAAGACCTTTGCTTGTGAATCAGGTTTGTCTAGGGCTGTGGAGTGTTGCATCTGAGCTTTCCAGAGCGTGCTGTGCAGACAGGCTAATATCTGGGTCATTTCCACAGATCTTGAGGCCGATGAATGGTGCAAAGTACTCCAGGTGGAATGCATAGGGACACGAATTAATGACATCAGCCTCGGGGAGCCTGACCTGTTGGCCACTGGTGTGGAGAGAGAACAGAGTGGTATGTAAAGAAAATTCTCATTCTCCTTCCTGTTAACCAATTTTTATTTCTACCTATACAATAAAATTTCATTATGTTGCGTTTTTGAAGTTACAAAAATATATGAAGAAATATATATCATACTTAATCCCATCCACAACCTGTGCTAGCATTCAGTACATTTCTTAATATTGTTTTAATGGAAAATAGGAGATTTTGTTGTTGTTTGCCGTCTAATCGGTTCCGACTCTTGGTGCCCCTGTATAGGGTTTCTAAGAGTAGGTAGTGGTCTGAACTGCTGACCTTGTGATTAGAAGTCCAGTGCCAACCCTACAGCACCACACCAGGACTCCCCTATAGAGATTGTTGTTGTTATGTGCCATCTAGTCGGTTCCGACTCCTGGTGACCCTGTATAGGGTTTCCAAGATGGCTGGTGGGTCTGAATTGCTGACCTTATGACTAGCAGTCCAGTGCTGACCCTACAGCACCACACCAGAACTCAACTACATCAGTGATATCAGGTGGAATTTGGGGGAATCTGCTGTGTTCTAGTTCCTGTGGTAGACACTTCACCTCCATGAGATTCTTTAATTTCCACTATCCTATATGCTGAGCAAATAATACGAGAAGGTGGGTTATATGAAGAAAAACATGGCATCAGGATTGGAGGAAGACTCATTAACAACCTGTGATATGCCGATGATACAAAACCTTGCTTGCTGAAAGTGAAGAGG